TTTATCCCTCTCGGTAGTGTAATAAAACTGAGAAGAAACACACTTCAAAACAAAAGAGGCCATCTAATTTTTTTCTATCTAACTAATAAAAGTAAAATTGACAAACTAATTTAAATTACTAACCAAATCTTTAAAAACAAGGATGGACAATGTGTAAGTCAGGAAATTGTTTTGTTGAGTGTTTCACTTGTGTGTAGGGTTTTAAAAGTATCCAAATATAGGAGTTTATAGATTTAACTTAGAAAGTTTACCAAAATTAATATTTAGTCAGTAGTTGTGACAGCCAATCAGTACAGTGTGGTACAGTGGAATCTTTGTGAATTTCATTGTTTTATGGAAAATTATGTTCATGCAAATAATACATGCAGACAGAAACGAGGATACTAAGAGTCCTTAAAAAGTACAGTGATCTCAATAATCTGTTTTTCTAGCTAGTGTTGACTAGTTTTCAGCATATTTATTTTTTACTTCTTCCTGGAGTCTAAAGGCATATTTCTCATCTGGTGAACTACTACTGACTTCCTAGTTTCCATTCATCAAAGTATTCATTTGTACCTGTAATCCATGCTAAGAACACTTTTTTGAGTCTGTGCTAGGTGTTATCTTGTGTAACACATTATGGACACATTTGAAATGATGCCCTGTGTAGCTAATATTATCTATACATGTGTGGTATTCACAATGCTAACTGTACAGGCAAAAAAATACTAATGAGAACTAAAATGGTACTTTAAAATGTTACTTTTTATGAAGCATTAATGCCAAATTTGAAAACTGCTCTATTAGACATCCATCAATATAGTTAGAGGGTAAGACCCAGAATCTAGAAGTAGGTTCAAGAGAAGGAGCTGAGCAATATGAGATACTAGATATGAAACCTGCATAAGGGTTTATCCAAGAATGCTGTCAGCCTTCAGTTAGAAGTATCATGCCTTCACTGGCCAACTGCTGGAAGGAAGCAACAGTCTTCCTTTCTTAACTACTTTCCATAAAACACCAGTTACTATAAAAGGATAGTTGGATCTATTCTTCTTTCTTCCTGCACCTCAGGCTCCATTTTTTAAAACTTCTTTTTCTCCCCCTGTATTTTATCCATTGTAAATAACCACTACACTTTCCTGCTGTAAGTAGTACTGTCATATGGCTGCAGCAACATAAAATGGACATTTTGGATAACATAAGAGCTGGGTAGAGGCTTCTAAAAAGCAGTAACTGGACTTGCAATCTTGTTAGTTATGCATGGCTGCTGCTCGTTAAAGTGCTACTGTGCAAAAGCTGAAACACTGGAACTGCCTGCTTGCAGAACCAGGAAGACTGTGCTGTCTGAATTAGTCAAATTTCCAAATGTAAGTCAGTAACACCGTTTACAAATGAAAAGATGGAAATGTGTCTAGAGTTTTAAACGAAAGCTGTAGAAATCCATATCATAGGCCTTTATGGTGATCAGAGAAAACTGCTTGTTATCATTAGGAATTATAGGGCATTAAAAACAAACAAACAGACAAAAAAACCCTGGGATCCTATGTACAGAATAAGACTACAAAAAAAAAATTAAAAGTATCAGACATCAAATGGTACAGACAGACTGGTCACATATACAGTAATACAGCAGTAGTTGACCAATAATCTTTTTCAAGTGTGAAAAAAGGAAAGGAAGGGTCATTCAGCTAATAATGTGCTAAAGTACTCATTTATGTACTTTAAGTATCAAAAGAAAAGCAGAGTTAGATAAATTAATAACAAACAAGCCTTATTTTTATAAACAGAAAAAATTATCTTGATCTTGCAGACTTAAAAAAGCCTTCCTACTGTAACATTAAACTGAATAAAAACTACATACAGTACATATTAAAATACAGGTTTCAACCCCAGTGACTTAATACAAATTCACTCTTCTTTGAACTCTAGTAACCCAACTCTAATCTCCAAGGAGTTTTGAAAGTTAAACCAGAAAGGACTGACAGTGTGAGGAGGTGTGTATGTGTGTGTGCATAAACACATGCACACATATACCTTGTTACCTAATCGATAAATTTAAGATAAAAGAGAAAGTAGGTTGATACCTAATACCTTTATGTGTGGGATATTGAATTGACATTTGTTTATTATCTCTGGGAGTGTGACAGATCTGTGGAACAACTAATACCAATTCAAGGCCAGAATTTAAGGGGAAAGTCGGTTTGAGGTACACAGAAACTTAGCTCATGGTGGTGGGAGTTGGCTCCAGTTCCTGTGCCTCAGTCATGAAGCCATGTCCCTACCCAAGCTGCTTTTCCTATCCACCTAATACATCTAGCCACCTTTTGTTTTCAGAGAACAGGCAGTGTTGGGGCTTGCTTTGTACTGTTGCCACTTTAATTCTCTCTGTGTCAAGCTGCAGAGCCACAGGAGCAGCCTGGCAGCAGCACTCGAGCTCCAAGTGCAGCAGGAGTAGGGAGCCCTGGAGGAGCCAGTCACAGCTCTCGGTCACTGGCCAGCCCATTGCTTGTTAGAAGTTAGCATGCTTAAGTTGACATTGATCCCTCAAGGGACTAGCTACCAGCTAAACAAAACTGGAGCACAGGGCTAGCCAAGCATAGATTCTCTGTGACCCTGTGTCAGGACCTGTCATCCTGTTGTAAAAGCCAGCTATGTTACCTCCTTGCCCTCTGAGACTCCCAGGGAATCCCCAAGTAAATGAAGAGGGGAGTTATTTACATCTCCTTCATGTCTCCAGACCAATCTTTTTTTTTTCTTAAAAACAAAACAAACCAAAACCAACCAAAACCCCAAGAGATAATGGAGTACTTTAAAAAGGCATATTTGTTCCCTTATGAAGGCATACTACAAAAAGCAATAATAATTTACTCTATTAATTATAGGTAATGGAAAATGTGGCAGCATCTCTGTGGTTAAAGAAGTGAGCATACTGTCATTGACGGTAGCGCAACTGTTGTACACAGCTGGGAAAGGCAGACACATTGGAATATTACTGGTAGTTTAGAATATTTAGAAGCCAGGAGTTCTACTAAGTCTATTTAATGTGCTGAGGGTAGAAATGCTCATTTGCTTTTGCAGAAGAAATAGAGCAAAGATACACCACAGCAGAGAAAGCTAGCAGGACAAAGGAGATACTATTGACTCATTCCAGACTGCCGACTTAGCAGCTCAACTTTGTTTCCTTTTAACTTTTGTAACAGTAGGAGCTCAAAGCTTCTCAGTCTCTTTTCTGCACAAATAGAAACACCCAGACTTCAAAAAGTAATATGCTTTGAAGAACCCCAAACCATTAACACATTAAAAACCGTGTGTACTATTAAACAAGGCTTCGTGGTTACTTGAATTTTGCACGAAGTAGATGCTGGTGTTTTGGTAGTAATTTTTACACTGCTGCATTCTGGCAGACAATTCTTGACAAATATCAATTTGTAAAGCATTTTTGTTGGTTTTAGTGTGAACAGTTTTATTGACTTTGCAGTGGGTAAGTACTGCTTCAATATTTTCACAGGCTGAGTAAACCCCAAGACACTTTTTCCCAACTCAGTAGCACATTGCAACAAGTTTCTAACCCTATAACATTACACTTGTAACACCGGGGAAAGCACATGATGTTTGATATTTCGATTTTGTCCTCGGTACTGAAGTCTATATACCTTAAAAAAAAAATTATTGTCTACTTTGGACAATGGAGTGTCCAGGGCCATCGATATGATGGCTTCTACGCTGACGGTGTCCCTGTCCCAAAGTCCCATCAGGAACGTGCTCCCCGGTAAGAGACCGGCCCCCGCGTCCCCGCTGTAACTTCACAGCCACCCCAGGCTTGCAAATACACCTCGCCTCTCTCACGAGTTATCCCTTCTACAGCGTGCGCTTAAAACGTCACAGAACGTCACAAACTCAAACCCATCGGCATCGCGTAAGCCACTACTGGAGCGTGTGAGTTGGATTTAACTTTGGATGCGTCCAGCCCCGGGCCCGGCGGGCCCCGCAGCCCCCGCCGCCGCGCCCCGCGGAGCCGCTCCCGGCGCCGGTGCCGCGGGGCGGGGGGGCCGGGCCGGGCGGGGCGCCCCTGCTCTGCCGCGGCGGCGGGGCCGCGCCCCCCCCGTTGGCGCGGCGGGCTGTCACTCAGGCGACGTCACAATACGCCTGTGTGAGCGCTGTAAACACTCGGGCGGGCGTGTGTGTGTGTGTGAGTGACGCGGGGGCGCGCCTCCCCGCCCCCCAGCTCTCCCCCGCCGCCCCCAGGGTGGCACCGAGCCGGCCGGGGGGGCGTGAGGCGCGCCCCCGGTTGTTTCCCTGCGCGCATGGTAGCGGCACGAAAGGTAGCATCACTGGAGCAGGGGATGATGTAATTCTCCCTCCGGCCAGTGACTGCCTGCGCTTGCACCGATCCGACTTGCAAACCGGAGGGGGGGTGGTTTTTTTACGCGTGATCGTATCAGCATCTCCTGACGGCGCACCCCCCCCCCCCCACCCCCCCCACAAACGCCGCTTTAAACCCCGCTGCGCTCAACCCTCCCCTCCCCGGGGCACGGAAGAGGGATGGGGCTGGGGGAGGAGGGGAGCCCCGCGCCGTGTGTGCAGGGTAAACACGCCAGTGAGCGCCGCGCCGAGCGGTAAACAAGTCTGAGGTGCCCTCCGCCGCACGGCAACTTGCTGCGGGCGGGGTGTCCCCCCCGCACACACACAGGCACGCACGCACACTCACTTCCCCCTAACAAAAGCCCGTTTAATATCGGCGTCAGCTTTTGTTCGGCGGGCGGCAGCCGCCGTCCCCTCTCCCGATCACCTTATTTCACCGGGCGACCCCCCCGGCCAAATCCACGGGTCCCCCACGCCTCGTTCCCCCTGCGCGCATCCCCGCTCGCTCCGCGGCGCTGTCCCCTCACCGCCTCCAAAGCTCCCCCCGCTTCCCCGGAGCTCCCGGTCCCTGCTGCCCGCTCTCTGGGGCAGCAGGCAGGTAGGCGAGCAGGCGGCTCCCCCCCCAGTTCCCGAAAAGGCAGTAGCTAAATGGCACTTACTGTCAGAAGAGAGGGCGAGGGAGGAAGCTCTTCTCTCGGTGCAAAAGCAAAATAGCCGCTCGCAGGACGTTGCCAGCATAGGAGGCAGCAAGAGAAAATAAAAAAGATCTTCCAGTAGAGAGGGGGGGAGAGGGAGGGAAGGAGAGAGAGAGGGAGGAAGGGAGGAGGAGGAGGATTCGCCTTTTAACCAGAGAAAAATAAAATCAAAAAATAACCTCGTGTGTGTCCCCCCCCCGGTTGCCTTTTTTGTGCAGTTTCAGCAAAGCTGCGAGGAAGTTGGTCCTTTTGTTCCACTATTTATAGATTGCGTCAACATTGCGAAAAGGAGAAGGCGGAGCGGTGGCACTTACTCCTCGCCGAGGGGTGGTGGGGGAAGATATCGGGGTGGAGGGGCGGGGCGGGGGGGGACGGGACGTGCAAGCCCTGCGAGTACAAGCGACTTCAGCGCTCTCCCCCACCCGCCGCCGCCGCCGCGACCACGGGAAGAACCGGGCGGTGCAGCCGCGGCGGCGGCGGCGGCGGCGGCGGGGAGAACCGCGCCGCTTCCCCGCCCGGCTGCCGCCGCACAGCACCGCCCCGCGGGCGGCGAGGCGAGGCGCGCCGAGCCGAGCGGCGGGGCCACGGGGAGGGGGGGACCCGCCGCTCGGTTGGGCGCTGATCGGCTCGCCGGTACCCTCCGTCTCCCGGTAGAACCTGTTGCGAGCCCCTCGGCTGGGAGCTTCGAGGGCAGGTGCACGCACCACTCGGCTCCGTTTTCTTTACGAGGTAGCGCCGAAGGGTGAATCTGGGGAGCCGAGGGGAAAACATTCTAAAACCTCGGGGTCTGAAACTTAAGTATTTTCACCTCCACCTCAGAAGAAGCGGAGGGAGGGGGCACAGAAGGTGGGGGGAGAGAGAAGGGGAACCGCCGCTTTCCTGGCCGAAGGCCAATGTTTCTAAACTGAATGTAAACAAAGAAAACTGCAAACACCAGAGGAGGGCCTTCCACCGCCGTGAAGGCTGGGGGGACGTGTTCCCAAAGGGGTGCCGAGCTTTGCCCACGCCTCGTTTCCCTCCGGGTCCTGAACGCCCACGGTCACCCCGGCCACCGCCCTCGGGTGCCGCGGGACGGGGGGGAACTTTCTGCCGGCGGGGACGGCGCAGGGTAGCAAGCCTGGAAAAAAAACAAAACAAGTGTGCTCCTTTTTGTTGTTGTTTTGTTTGTTTCCTTTCAACTTGTTTTTTTTTTTTTGGGGGGGGGTGGGTTGTTGTTGTTGTTGTTGCTGTTTTGTTGGTTAGTTTGTTGGTTTGGTGGGGGTTTTTTGGCTTTTTTTTTTGAGAGCGAGGGCTCGTCCCTCCCGCCCCGGGAGGCAGAGCCGCTGTGCCCCGGGCGGGCGGAGGCCGGGACCGGGCTTGTCCGAGCCTGCCGAGCGCTCCCGGCTCCAGCCTCGGGGCTCCGTGGAACTGCTGATGCTGTTACTTATAACATGCTCGGAGAAACATCCACGGGGCTCCTGCTCTGTTGAGCAAATCTTTCTATACTTAGAGGGCAAAATCCTTCCTTGCTATTACACAGGCCGGTGGGTTGTCACTGCGGGGTTAAAGAGGAGATGGAGGGAAGGAGGAAGGCTGAAGACGTGCATGACCGTGACATCGGCTGTGTGATCGCCCTAAAAATACCCCTGACGGACCCACGGGCGATCCTTGCCCAGCAGAAACACAACCGTCGAACAGGGCGAGGTTTAGGGGTTTTTCTCCTGCTCCTTGTTTTTCGTGAGTTCCATGGGCGGATGAGTCTTCTTCTTAGGCTTCGGACAACAGATGCCTTCGCGATGATGATTTTCTGGGGGAGAGTGCTATTCCTCGGAACTCTCCCCCTCCTGCTCCGCCCAAGCCACGCATGGTCCTTGCTTGTGGTGGAGCTCCCTGCGGAGCGGGGAGCGCAGGTAATGTCCGAGGAAAGCTCAGAGCGAATAAAATAAATTCCGTTCGTGTGGTGCCTTTCTTGAAGCGTCCCCTGAATGCCGGGCTTTCCTCTCCTCAACTACCTCGCCGCCAGATCTCCGTCCCACATCGCTGCTCTTGCGACAGAACACGGTGCTTGCTCATCTTCCGTGGGCTCTCCGTGGGGACTGTGGCTACTCTTTGCTCCTTCTGCTGTGGTTGCAGAAAAAGAAAAAAAAAAAAAGGGAAAGGGGAAAGACAAAAAAATTAACGAAAATTATGTAGTTCGAAGACGGATAGTGTTGAGTGTCAGATTGTTTTTTTGCGTGCAAAATCCCTGGCACAACTGAGCTCTTTTAACAACCTTTTAACTAATGGTGTAAAAATTGACTGGTAGTGGAAAGTAGTAAATAGTGGAAATAAAGGATAGATCCAAACTGTGAACCGTGAATAAAACTTATTGGAAAGAGCTGAAATGAGCAGAGAGTAGGTAGGCAATTCTCTCTCTTCTGTTCTGAAAAAGGAGTGCGACGCGTTGGCAGTTTTTTTTTTTTTTCTTTTTCTTTCTTTCTTTTTTTTTTTTTTTTTTTTTTTTTTTTTTTTTTTTTTTAACATGCTGAGAGAAAAGAGCAAAGAAAGAAAAATAGCGTTGTGGTGAAAATGGGATGATAAAAGCGAGATGTAAAAGGCATAAGTACCGACGTGGGTATGCCCGCCCCGGGCGCTGCCCCACCGCAGCCCGGTGGCTCGGAGCCGGCGGCTGAGCTTCAGCAGAAGCCACGGCGTTCAGAAATGTTGCAACAGCACTTTGGAAGTCTCTAAAGAAAAGCTGAATTGTTGGAACTTAGGTAACTTAAGGAAACTCGTTATGACCTACATTGCTGTTCTGAGTCAGCAGCTGCAGCCCCAGCCCCGGCTCCCGCCGCCGCCGCGCACCCCGCACCCCTTGGGCGGAGCCGCCCCCCCGCCGCCGCCCGGGCTCGCTGCTTCCCGGGTTTACAAACAAACTCGCCTGGATCGAGACAGTTTCACTTCTGCTCTAAGGAATGCCTCCGCTGCTTTTTTTTTTTTTTTTTTTTTTTTTTCCCCTCCTCTCAGGTTTGCGGACAGAGTAACTTGCCTGCCTCAGCGCCGGTTTACAGGCTGGTTTTTGAGGGGGAAGGAGTTTAAGCGGAGGACAAGGTCTTTTCCCAAGTTTTTAAGAGCTGTACTTTATATCGCGAAGGGATAGTCATTGTTTTCTCCACCGGGAAATAGATGCCTTTTAGGGAAAAGTTACTACATGTTGCACACTGCTTGCTCTTACGATAGAGAAGGAAACTCTGAAGTTCCAATCAAAAACTTACCAAACAACTTTCCATATTTCTTCTGTAATGTAAAGTAAAAGTAGCAACGATTAAACTCCAAATGTCCACACTGTCAAGATTCTTAGTTGAATCCAGTTTGCAGCGGGCTCGGGCAGTTGCGCCGAGCGTTTGTTAAAGGCACGGTCAGCGTCAGGGGAAGAGCCCTGAATATTTTAACATCTTGATTAAAGTAATCTGTGCGCGAAGATACCGCATCACCCCGGCCGGGCGAGGGATGGGGAAAATCATCCAGTCAGCTTTCTTCGATATTCAAAATGACGAAAGACTCGAGATGAAATGACCTCAGAAAACTCCGCCTTTGGAAAGCAGCGCTTGCCGCCTCTCCCTTGCCCCCCGCCGTTCCCCCTCAATTCTCACTTTTTGTTTATCGACACGTCGTTGCCACCAGCAGGAGAACTGAAAAGACAAAACTTAGCTCCAAACGCCTTGGTTTTCCGGTTAGGCTTTTACCGGGTTTGCCCACCGCTTCGACCGCTGCTTTTGGTATCATTGTCATTATTACTGATATATTTTTATAAACTTTTAGAGTTTTATTGGTCGAGTACGGCAACTTACTGCACTTAACAATAGGACAGAAAAATCTAATTTCATTTTCTTTATTTATTTTTAAAAAGAAAATCTCACAGCAGTGATAGAGACTTGATTCGATGCTCTTTAGTAAAAACTTGTAGCAATGTGAGTTTCTTGCAACAGTGATAGTTCAGCGTCTCGTCTTAAGAAACCAGCGAAATTTGGAGGCAGAGGCTGAAAGCAGCTCCCCGTGCCCCTAATCAGGGAGGGGGGCAGGAAAATGCCTCCTGCGGTTTTGGGTGTCAGGAAAGAGTTGTTTCTCGGTTTGATGGTGGCACCTCCCCAAGCCCCGTTTCCCAGCGGATTCCCAGTTTGCAGCTGGACACGGGGGTACGTCCCTGCTGCCTCACCGTGGGGACGAGCCACTGTCGCTCAGCCACCTCCGGCTCTGCGCTCGGCGGGTGCTGCCAACCACCACCAAATAAAGTCAACGCCTTCCCCTGCCTGATTTTTATTTTTTCAAAGAACCCCCAAAATTCCCCCGTGGTGTCATGGAAAAAGAGATCTCTTCTTGCTCATAAGCCCCAAATGTCAAAGGCAAAGGAGAGAAGATATTTGCCCTTAAGAGAGGAAAAAATGAAAGAAAAACCCAAACCGAAAAAATAAAAAACCCAAGCCCAACAATAAAAGCCCCAGATATAGCTGGGGAGGAGAGAGAAGTGAGGGAAGAGGGAGTGAGAAGGGGGGGCTTCAGCTGTACCGGGGCTGACACGGTGCGTCTGCACTTCCAGCGTAGCAGGAGCGACTCCGGCATCCCGCTTTCCTCCTCGGCGGTTTTCTTGGGCATTCTGCGGGAGCACCGAGGTTTCTCCCGGGCTGCACTCCCCGGGCTCTGCGAGGCAGCCCCAGGACCCCGTGACCTCCCCTTGCCCCACGCTCAAACGCCTCCGGAGGGCTTGGGCAGCCCCGCAGCGGGACGAGGGCGGGCGGCGGAGCCCCCTCCTCTCCCCTAGATCGCTCTCTGTACGGTTAAGCCCCCAGAATGGGCTGGAAAGGCGAGATTTTGGGAAACCTGTGGAGAGAATGGACGTGATCTGCGTGTTGAAGCGAAGCTGAAGGATCAGTAAGCCGCAGTCAACACCGGTCACTGCTACCGAGATTTTTGGGGCACTTTAAATTTTTTTTTTGTCTGATCTTTTTTTTTGGGTTTTTGGGTGTGTCTAGACCCGCGTAATTTCTTAATGATTTTCAGACACCGTTGTCGATGTCCAGCGGTGTGACCAGGTTGTTAAAGACTAGGCGATTTTTGTTCATACAAACTGGATCTCTGCAAGGTTTAATTTAACCCCGTGCGGCTCATCACGTTTCTTTTACCGAAAAAAGTATCTTTCTAGAGAGCCCGCCGTCTGCTCTCTGTTGCGGGACCGAGAAGGTACGATGCAATGTATGCAAAGTGACTGTAGCCTTTCAGGATGTTACTGAGGTTAAATCAAAGTCCCGGGACGGTAAGAGCAAAAACCTGGTAGCCGTCCAAGAACAAAATCGTTGTTTTCAATTGAGTCGAGGTTTGGTGTGGGTTGTTTGTTTGTTTGTTTGTTTGTTTGTTTTCTCCCCTCCTTTCTTCTTTTTCTTTCCTAGTGTAGTGGAAAGTGTCTTTGTTCTTTGTAAATTAGTGGGGTCTCTAACACGTTCTCGTCACGGTTGGGACGATATATACCACAAAAAATGACAACGCTTAGCAAAAGAAATGCAGTAACCTGGGTTTGGGTGACCAGTGTCCCAGCGAGCACTTGCCTTTTCCAATTTTTTTTTCTTTTATTTTCCTTTTTATTTATTTATTTATTTATTTATTTATTTTAAAAACTTCCGTGATATCAGAACTGTGGCCAGGAGCAGGGGGTGTAATTTCATAAATGTCCCCCATGGCAGCCTAGCCGCCTCTGGCCGGAGAGGGACTGCCGGGCACCGGGACCACGGGCATGGGGACATCACTTCTTCCGTCCGCAAGCGTTAAATTTCTCGCTCCTTTTCGTTCCCCATTACAAAGATTTCTCTGATGATAACAAGATATCTGTGTGACGGCTCGCTTTCGTGCCAGGCTCAACATCCTGCTTATCCCCTCGATGCCAGCTTTCTCAGCGTCCCGTTTTCGAATACCCTTTTTCCGCAGAGATGCCCCCAAGCTTATATTTTGTGTGTCCCCCGTCCCTCTCCTGCCCCAGTGGCATTGAGGCGGGGTTTCGTCTCTTGTCAAACTTTGCACAGACTTGGGTGTAAATTCAGTATTATGTGATTTAAAATCTCGTCGTAAAAATACCAAATGCAAATACTCGGCACCTTGGGTGTCTGGTGATACTTTTATTTCTCCTGACACATCAGGAGTTATTTAACATGTAGAAAAAAGCAAGGGATCACATCTTTTTAGCAGAAAGTCGTACAGTGCAATTAAGCAAAGAAGTTCAGAGTCGGGAAAAGCTGGAATGCCGTTATTAAAAAAAAAAAAAAAAAAAAAAAGCAGCAGCACTGTTTAGGGTTCCTTCCCCCCATCAAAATGTGACCTTTTGGAGTTGAGTTAGTTGCTGCTTCTGAGTTATTTACTCGTTCGGGGAAGACGCCGAGGTGCTGAGGGACCCGATTCTGGTCCCGGGGCAGTTCCCAGTGAGGCGGTGGTGGAGCCAGGGGCCGGGGGTTCCTGGCAGTTCAGCCGTCACCTTACCGTCACCTCCTGGTCAGGCGAAGCGAGGCGAAGAGCAGCTGCCAGCCTGCTGCAGATCTGATCCCCAGGCTGGTTTCCGGGGAAAAGAGTGGCTACTATAAAATGTTCAAATTGCTCGGATGGAAACTTTCCGGTGTGTTGGAAATGTGTAAAGACAGAAACGACAATGACACTGCTTCGAAAAGTAGCTTCTGACTCTCCGAAAAGCCTTCAGGACCTGCTAGTGAACGACAGTCATTTCCATACCGCTCCGCTGAAACTGAAACGTGTATGCTTGGGGAGCTTTAGACTTTCCTTTTCCATCACCTCTGGAGAGTGGGGGAGTCCTTTATCACCGCCTGTCCCGCCATCCATGCTACGGGGCGCCTTGTCCATTTCCCGCGGTTTCCCAGAGGGGCATCGGGGTCTCCCTGCGGCCGGGGTTCATTTTCCCCGCTCCCCCCCTTGGCCCCTTTGGCTGGCCTGTGCAGGACAGAGGGATCGCAGCACCGCCACCGCCACCCGCTGCCACCTGCCCCGGCCGGGGACAGTGGTTCTGCAGCTACTTCCAAATGATTAATGTTTTGTTGTTTCCCCTCTCCCCCGCACACTCCTTAAATATTTTTTTGTTTTTTTTTTATATTATTGTTTCTCTGCACCAGCCTCTTGTCTTTTCTCGCAGACACTCGAGCCAGTGAAGGCAGTGGGCGTGCAGGCAGCTGCGGCAGCCCGGCGATCTCCCTTTTCTCCCGCTCTCCTCTGAACATTGCCGTTAACGCGCTGGCAGTGCTGGTGATCCGGCTCCAGCTGCTGCTGCTACTGCTGGTCAGTATTTACCACCAGACAGTCGTTTATCTCCCGCGTTCAGCTTA